TTGCTCTACTTAGTTGCGGCGTTTGCCATTTTTGCAAATGTTTTGTGTGCATGCAAATGGTTCGTTCAGTCGTTCATTCGCTCATTCAACCAGTTAGTCATGCAGGCAGTCAGCCAGCCAGCCAGCCAGCCAGCCAGCCAGCCAGCCAGCCAGCCAGCCAGTCCGTGGTCAATTCCATTCATTTCCATGGCTTGTTCAAGTGGCGCTGCGGCCACTCGAGTGGCCTGCCCACTTGAGAGAACCAAGCCCCTTACTGACATGGCCCGACCTGAATTGCCCCAAAGCTCATTTAATTTAAATTTGAATTTGAATTTTATATTCATTTATTCGTGTACGACTAGTCTGTGCCCAGTGACCGAATACCCTGTAAGAACAAACAGCAAGACTCATCGACTCACCATCCAAGCTCAATTCGATCAGCAGTTTTCTGGGATGATGTGTAGGGCAGCTGACATTCGCATTGCTTTGTGACTCTTGAAATTCAATTAAAAGTTAATAAGCTACTGGCTCTGCAGCAAACTGTCCTACAGCAGCTCCGATTAGTGTTTAACTGTTTTGATTTGTTGTTTATCGGTTCTATTTGCCACACAATTAATTATTTGACTGCATTCGCACGAAATTTAAAAGCCTGCGGTCAGTTCGAGTCATGTTTAATTAACAGACGAGCCAAGTCGGTGTGTGTGAAATTGGGTCATACACTGCCCAGCTCGAGTGCTCTAGATGCTGCCATATTATGGCAACTAATTAAGGCAAGTCTATGCTAAAAACTAGCTGCTACGTACACACACGCAGGCACACACAGCTCGAAGAGTCTGCTTTGTTTTATAGTGCAGAGTGTCGGATGTCTCACAGCAGTTAAACTCATTCGCAGAACACTTAATGCGCACTAATGAAATGTCAGCTTAAGTCATAACTCAACTGCAGCAGCCACAGCCATTGCCAGAGCCACAGCCACAGCTACATCCACAAACAACAAAAGCTAAGTCCGAGCATCAACAAATGAGATTGGTAGTCAAGTCCAAGTTCCAGTCGAAGCTCAAGCTCAAACCCAAGCAGCAGGAACTGAACAACTACTTATGACAAAAATCTATGACAAAGCCAAGGGCGAAACTTTTGTGGGGCTTTTCGCTTGGCTTTTAAATATGACTTGCATTTATGAGATTTATGTGTGTGCATGTGTGTGCATGTGTGTGTGCTGCTAAACAAAATGGCGGCTATTGTAATTGATAAGTTTCGCTGTGTGTGAGTGTGTGCTTCCTTTATTGTCCTGCCAATGTCCGCCATTTTGCTTACACGCTAAAAGAGATTGATGATGCCTTGAAAGACTCGCCACTCAGACTTGGCCTTAAGAATCCAAACTTGCGTAATTGTAGCGGCAAAATTAAATGATGAAAAGTTTTTTTTGGCATCAACATCCACTCAAACCACCCAACCAGTCATTGCCATAACCATTGCCCGGAGAACGTCGTCCATTTGATTGATGAAATGATAAATATCTGGCTCTGTCTTTTGCCATCGCCCACAAAAATTGTAACAAGCTGTGAGCTGAGGGTTGTGGGTATTATTACTGCGTTATTATTAAAGCGTTTTTAATGCTAAATGTCAAATGCAGGACAGATAAGCAGCCCCAGCTGTCAATGCAGCGACTGAACAAACAGCAGACCGAAAGACCGAATGGACTAGCGGATATTCGTTGAGCACGAAAGACGCTCAAGTGGCTGCCAAAAGGAGAGTCGATCCAGTGGCATCATTACTAAATGAGCATGTTATGGGCTTCAATAGATAGCTGGCTGTCTGTCTGACTGTCTGTCTGTCTGGCTGACTAGTAGTAGATGCCTCTTCGGACTCCGCTGTCTGCTGCCGACTGAGCTGCAAATCCCACTTAAAATCCGCTTCGTTTACGAAAATGTAATGATGATTAATTACAGACGCAGAGTGTGGCAGTAGCGGCATGCTGGTTGAGGTTTTTCGGGCTGTCTTTTTTTCCATCTTCCGGGAAAGTGCTAAGTACGCAGCGCAGCGCTATATTTTGGGCTGGGAGGCCTTTCACTCCCGCTGGCCTGCCACGGGTCATTAACGGAAGGGGCCAGAGCAGCTCGAAGCTTCTCTAATAGTTCTACTTCTGACCCACAGCCAAAGAAGCCGCCTCCTCCAAAAGGAAAAACAAAAGTAATTAATATGCCAAAGTTTGCTTCGCTGTTGTTGTCAGCTAAGCCGAAGATATCTCCCGGATGGGTTCATTAAAGCCAAGGTTAAACCAATGTGAAGCGATGTGAAGTTCGCCTTCGAAATTCGAATTTCATAAATATCACAAATATGCAAAGCTTTGGCTGCAAATATTCAAATCAAATTGTTGTTCTGTTCGGCTTGCGGCACATTTGGTTTGGGTCGTATGGTCATCAGCGGCTTGTTATCTGGGCCCATCAGATGCTGGTTGGAAACTAACTAGCTAGCCGTCTCTCTGTCTCTCTCTCTCTCTCTCTCTGGGACCACATTACGGGTCAATTATAAACTATTTGCATGCTAATTGCGCTGCAACTCGCCAATTTATTGAATTTATTATGATAAAAGCTGAACAAAATGGATAAATCAGACACGCGATGCTTCGCTACAGGCAACTCGACACTTGCCACTCGCCGCTCACAACTCGGAATGGCAATGCATTTAAAAACACATTTACACGGCGTCACCAACGCCCCCAACTATGCGTGTCCCATGTCTCGGGCTAGGTAGACTACAGCTAAGCCCAACAAAACGCTAATTTGTTTTTAATATGCGGCGTAGACTGGCTGTGGATATGGCAAGAGCAGGCGCTGCCTTGAAGCTTGATTATCTGCTGAGAAATTCAAAAGCCGAAAAGTGTTTCGTCGTTAACACCCCGAGCGAATTACCGACTGAATCAGTCTCGAATTTCGGATGCTTCAGCCCCTTCGACCAGTTCATCTGGGCCAAATCCTAGACGCACTGTGGCTTAACAATGTTATTAAAATTAATATAAATGACTTCAGAGCCGCATGGACATTAGCACCGACGCAGCTCTGGTGCCTGGTTATGTATGTGTTCGTGTGTATTCACAGTACAAACACACACACACAGACACACATGTCTGGGCTTGGTCGATAGGCTCTTAACCTGGCGGCGGCTTTGGCAGTTATTGTTTTTGTAATTAGCGCTTTGGACTATGGTAGAAAACAAAAACAAAAAAACTGAATGGCGGCCGTTCAATGGTTTCTTTTTCTTTCGGTTTCTGCGTTCTCTTTCTGATTTTTTTCCAGTTTATTCATTTTGGACAATTTTTACGCTTCTTCAGTTGCGTCTCCGCTGGAAGTTTGTAACGCCTGTCCATATAATTAATTGTGTTCTTTATGCTCCATGCTGAGTCTCGCAGGGCACTGCATATTTAAATTTGGGAAAATAAGAAACTTCAATTTTTGTATACCCTAAATTCATAATCTGCAATTTTTGTATAGCCTTCCCACAGCTAGGCATATGTAAACGTATTTATATTAGAGGGACTCTCCTGCAATGGTGTGTACAGAATGTTCTACAAGTTATAAGAAGGATAAGCTATTTGAAGCCAATCTGGACTTACTTCTTGAGAATACACATATTGACTTTTGGCTTGTTACAAAGAGTTAACTGTTCAAGCTATAAGAGCTTTAAGCATTTCAGAACAAACTTTATGTGGGTCTTAGCCAAATGAAATGTATTTTGAGGAACTGTAGTATAGAGTATAAAGTTGGAGTATTCCCGCACCTCTCTCCACACCTACCCGTTGGAGCTGGTTTTGGCCGTAATTTTGGCTTTTTGTTCTCTAATGAAAGTTGATTGCTGTGAAGCGTGGAGAAGTCGCTGGTAACGAGTTATATTAATTAATGCATATGAAGCTCTTCTGCGCGGTGTACATGGCATAGCATGAGCTAAGCTGATTATAGAGCTTTTGTCTCTTTGAGCTCAGCTGAAACGATTGCAGACCGTGTTAATTTCATCAATTCAGCAAGCCCTTCACAGGTGTACGCCTATCAGCAAAATTAATGAGCCGTTTTGTGAATTAATAAAAAGTTCTATTCTCAAATTATTATCATTATCTATTTGGCAATCAATGAACTTCGTAAGCGACTTTCAGTTCCACGCAATTTGCTGGCAATAGTTGTCTCAATGAAAGTTTTCATGCAATTGATTTACCTTTCCATTCACTTTAATTGGCTTAGAGTCGCACGAGCCAAATGAAAATGGGGTGGATTCCCAATCTCCAAGGACTCACATGGAAGCAAAGAGACTACCACAGTTTGTTGTGAATAATACTCGCTGGAAATTGACGACGAAAAGCATTCAAAATGCAGGCACTCGGCTATTAATAGAAATAAATTGAACATGGCCAAAATGTGTATGGCATATTTGCCAACTTACATATTCATGTGCGATCTAATAATGCCAACAAAGCTGGCTGAACGACCGACAGACAGACAGGCCGACAGACAGACAGAGAGTCGCTATACATGCAAGATGTATGAAAGGAACTTCTTATGCAAAGCCACTTAACAAATGGCAATTTATTTGCACATAATTTGTGAGCGCCACAGGATATTTGCTGAGGCACGAATCCTGGCTGTGCAGACGGTGACAGCGCCAACTTACTAAAATTACAAATTAATTTTGCGAAAATTTGCGCAAAAACTGAGGATGGACGCAGAAAATCTGTTACGTCGAACATGCTATTGAAGACAGCAGCATCCAGGCACATCCAGCACGCTCCCTTGCCTACACATACATTGTGTATATGTATATAGTATATACAGAGATACACAGAGATTGGCGAGTAAATGAAATGTATTGAATTGACATAAAAGTCGCTCAAGTTAATTCCCTGGCAATGAAATTGGTGGGCTTGCCGCCCGCCCCGTGCCTCCATCCCGACATCCCACAGCAAGATGTTGAGATGCTCACATGATTACAGGGTTGTTTGGAAAAGAAAATCCGAGCATAAAGGAAAATCTATACAACATTTCGGACAATGTCAATTTGTTAGCATTTATTGAATTGTGAATTATTAAAGCGCACAAATTGAAAACGCAACTGTATGAGAGCCGGGACAGAAGTTGCAGAGTCCCCGTACCTACATATGTGGCTATGTATGTATATAAATATATACACATGTTCATATATATGTGTATGTTCTTGTATCTGTAGCTTACAGAAATACCATATTGTATACAGAGCACAAAGCGCACAAAGGCAGAGTCGATTTAGCAAAATAAGAAAAGAAGCCAACGAAATCGAAGGTGAATCTCATCTGGAAACGCTTCAAGCGAGACCCATAATCTTGGGTAACATAAGTCCGAAGAATACATATGTAGAATATTTATTTTAAAACTTATATGTACAAGGATACTCGTCCATGCGAGTTCCTAATGAGTTGAGACCCGAAAGCGGGGATTTTGAAGCTAGTATAAAGTAATCATATAGATTTATGTATGTATTAAATATTTATTTCAATGTATTACTACTATTTGTGTTCTCTATCAAAGCAGGCCTATGCGCGAATATACTCTGTTCCGGATAAGTCGAGCTGGCTTGGGGCACCTTCATAAAAGTCCAATCAGACCACAACCAGAAACACCACAAACTTCACTTATGGGAGGGTTTCTGGTCGTGGGCATTGAGTGCCAAAATAAATGCCAATGAAAGCGGGAAATAAATGCAAACACACGCACACACTCCCTCGGCCTCACACACACGCTCGCACAGAGCCATTCACATACACAATATTCGAATAGATTGAAAGGAAATACTACAAAATGTATTAGTTGAGAGGGAGAAGGAGAATGCGGTTTGTGGCTTGAGTTCTTGTTATCCTTGCTAGTTGCGTATGAATTCAACAAATTTAATAAGCAAATAGAGCGAAAAGTGCAGAGACTGCGAAATAAGCCGTCATTGAAACGCAATTGCTGAATTTTTTGTTTATTCTGTTTATTTGTTGTTGCGAGGCATGGCAAATCGATAGCACGCGTCAATTGCTGCTCAAGTGGTCCTGGTTCTGCGCCCTGGGTCCTGTATCCTGTGTCCTGGCATTTATATATACGACTATGTTGGACCGAGCCAACCCTCGCTGACATTAACAGCTCTCGGTTTATGTGCAATTTTTCAAATATTTGTCTTGGCTTTCTTCGTACGCTTCACTTTGCAAACCAAAGCAAATGCCAACTAATGCGAAGAAGTGTGCTCAAGGACCAGCTTCACATTTGTCACGCGCCCAACCACGACGAGACGCAGCCACAACCAACCCACAATCAGCTGGAATAGTTCCATTATCAAATCGTTGACATTTATGCCAGAGGCTTGCAAAATTGGCAGCACTTGATTATTATGAAACAAGCGACGTGCCTCGTAGTTTGGTCCAAGCTGAAGCATCGGCATCAGCAGCAGCCTCAGCCTCCGCCTCAGTCTCAGCTTCAGCTCTGAATCTGCTCATCTCTCGTACGTGCTAAATTATCACTTGAAGACGGCTCCTTTCATGCTGTGCAATGGCCCGCGGCTTTGCTTAGTTTATAAGTTCGTTAGTTAGTTGTTGTCTGTCTGTGTGTGTGTGTGTGGCCAGTGAAGTTGAAGCGCCCGATAGCCACAATGTCTAATTAAGAAAGCAGCTTAAAACAATTGAAGCTATTTGCTTTGAGCCATGGCCTTGTTATATTCGTAGCCAACAGCCAATAGCGAACGGCCAGGCGCAACCTAGGCGTTTTGTGTGCGCCCGGTCAAGCGGGCACTTGGGCGCTTTTGGAGATAAGCCCCCACAGGGGCAGCCTCGGAGTATCACCCCCACTGGGGCAGGGCAATTAGCTCGGCGGTACAAATTGGAATGCGATTAGTCAAGCATAGGCCAGCCACACTTATGGTTTACCATTTCGAGCTGAAGGACTGCAGCCTCTGCGCTGTCTTCATCAACATGCTTTATCAACAGTCGCTTTTTTGAAAGGACGCCAAATGTGTCGAGGAAATGCGACAAAGGCGATTTTTCAGGCAATCATGTTTATGGTGCCAAAGGCAATAAAATAAGCAAGCGCATAAAATGTTTGCCGCATTCTAGGCGCAGGCGCTTCTCCCTTTCAAATGGCATGTGCGAGCTCGCTGCCAAAAGCTGAGTCGCCAAGCCAAAACAACGAAGAATTACATAAATTATCGCAAAAGTGTCAGGTCGAAGCAGTTTTTCCCCCAGTTATCCCCAGTTTTCCTTCCACTGCATTTGTCGAGCATGTAATAGCAGACCATAATAATCACACTGCGAAACAGGAAAGCCATGCACTCGATATGGAGGATGAGTTATGTAAATGAACACAGATTTTCCGTAGAGCTAAGAGCCACGACTGACTGACTGACTGACCGTCCGACTGAGTGACTGACTTGCAGGGTTCGCTGACCTCTCCAGTGGGTTTAAAGATTTTTGTCTGCTAGTGGAATATTTTGCCAACTGCAGTTGAGCTTCAAGAGTTCTTTCAGTCGTATTTACAAAGGAATGACAAAGGAAAACGATATGGCCGAGCTTTTTTCTAGCAATCATTTTTCTATCTACTGCGACTGTCCTTGCCATTGTGACAAGTGAAGTGGGCAGCATTTGCTCCTTTGCGAGCTGGCATTAAAAAATGAAAAGCTGCAGTCGTCATTTTCTTGCCAATCGTTTCTTACAGTTCGAATGTCGGAATGGAGGGCAGAATAGTGGACAGTGCACGGTGGACAGAGGACAGGGGACAGGGGACAGGGATGCGCTGCCAGAAAACGCTGTCCAAATATTTTTCTTACATTTCCGTAATGGGCGCTGGAACTGTGCGCCGCGAGATGCAACTAGATGAGAGCATTTTGAACAATCGACCATTTCCATTTTTAATCAACGACGGCGAATCGATATCGTTTCGATTGCTCTATAAATACTTGTCATGGCAAATTTATGACTTCAGAGCAACGGAAAAAATAAACCTCTTAATGTATACATATTATTTCAAATTTAACGCCGATCAATTCTATTGTGCTGAAACGGGGCCAGCAGCATCTTGCCCGGCTTTTTGTCAGGCTTGTATCTGGTCGGGGCATCCATCAATTTTTATGACGCCCCAGCGAGTGTGGTTCTAAAAAATAAAACTGAATCGCTGCAGCATGCCAAATGCCAAAGCACACAGCTCTCCATAGCTGCCAAAAAGTACAATATGTATTTGGATTGCAGTTGCAAAGCAAACAATAACCAGCCATAAAGCTGGCCCCGTGGCTCTGTGGCCAGACGAGATCCTGGATAGATTGCGGCGCCCAGTTAGCACCAATTTGATGGCTTTTGCATTGTTATTGCTGCTCCAGTTAATTTGTATTGTGCATAGAGTTCGCAAATCGCCAGATATTGTTTTTCGGCCGTCAATCACGCTGAGGACTCACCATTCAATTTGAATGTGGGCGAGCCAACCGGCCAACCGACACACGCACAGGCAGTGCACCTGCTTGTCAGACGGCCCCACACAGCTGCACAGTAATTGCAAGCACTTAACGCCCCCTAAATGCCACGCCCACACTCAACACACATTTGCTTGTAATGAAATTATTTAACTTGTACGCATCCGCGTCTTCAGCTTGGCTCAGACACTGGAAGCGCAGCTGCCATGGAAGCCAAACTCAATTAAAACGTCAGCGCCGCTGTTGCTGCTGATGTTGCCTGTTAGTTATTTGCAACAGCAACAGCAACAACAGTAGCAAGCAACAGCAGCCACATCTACAACTTGCCGCACATGCCAACTGATAATTAACTTGAAAATCAACTTTTAGCAGTTAGCTCGCTCAATTCGGTAGCCGCACCCACTGAAAAGGCTTTAACACAATTTCCAACCCGCGAAACCTGAGATGTGTTTCAGAAAATAAACCTATGAGCACTAAGTGATGTTAAAGTCTTCCTACAGCTATTGATGTTGCCTTAATTTTTAGCTGAATTCCGTTTATTAGTTTTGGGAACGCATCAAACTTGAGACATTTTTGTGTAGTAAATGGAAACATATATTGAATATACCTAAATTAAATCTGCTCATCATAAAATTTGAGGCTTTTCTTAGATATATATATATTCTTGATCAGACTCAACAGCAGAGTCGATCTAGCCCTGTGCATCTCCGAGACTTGGAGACTGAGAAACTTGACACTTGAAACTTTTACACATTTTTTGACTAAATGAACAAAGTTCTTTATCTACACATACATTCAAATACAAGAATACTGTTTTGATAGGCCGAACTTCAGGGTGTATCCTAGTCGAGCATTCCCGACTGGAGATTTTTTAACATTTTTTTAAACTATGTTTTCGAATAATTTTTTCGCATTGTTTTGAACTCATTTATTATGTATTTCAAAGAAGATTGAGTATTAATGTGACCTTAATAAATATTTTTAATAAATGTTAAATTGATGCTGTGTGACATAAGGTTTCGCTGGAAGTTAACCTACGTATTTAACATTATTATTTACCACTATAACTTTTTTCTGCTTCTTCCATGTGTCCCTTATATGTAAATTATGTCTTTGTTTTTATGGCTTTTACTTTTCCTTTTTTTGTTTGCTGAAGAGCAAATAGCGTGAAGACAAAAACTAATGAAGCGTCAATTTTATTTAATGCTGCTGCTGCTGCTGCTGCCGCCGCGAGTCTGTGCGTCTTTTTCTCACCGATTTCAATTTGCGTAGCTGGCGCTGTTACCTGTCTCTTGCTCTTGGCACGCCCAGTTCTTGGGTTGGTTCCACAACGCTTCAGTTGGCAACGCAGCGGCATTTGATATAACCCGTTTTTGGTTTTGTTTATTACGGTCATTCATTGGGCCAGGCAATTAATTGTCATTTGTCAGCTTTTGGAGTTGTTGGACTTATCGATTTTGTGTTTGCGTGAGAAATGCGTAAATCAAAATCATTCTCAATGCAGTTTTTTCGCATCAGAGCTGTCCAAGCTCGGCCCATTGATACTTTAATAATGCCTCCATTTGCGTAATTGAAAATTGCATTTGAAGAGCGTAAAAGGGGTCAACAGAAAGTTTGCAGCATACTTTTTAGAAGCGTTCGCTGAGCCAGCAAAAGTTAAATGCACGCATCGCAGAGCACAAACGGTCAAAGAACGACAGAGATAAAGAGCACAAATAGAAAGAGCCAGCAGCAAATAGCGCAAAAGGGCCACAAGGACGTCGCTGACGTTGGCGTCATTTTCAAAAATTTATATCAAAAATAACTGGCAGCAAATGAAATGAAAATCGAAGTAATGTAAAATTTAGCACACGCACACAGACACTCATGCAGACAAAGTTTTTGAGAAGGGGATGAAGAGAGGGGGATAGGGAGATTGCGGGAAGGGGTGGGGGGATTGAGATGGGGAGGCTGCACACAGCTGCAAAAATTCGTTTGGTTCGTTATTGTTGCCGCACTGCAACAGCTGCTGGCAACGGCATCCAAAAATGTTGCATAAAACTTGGCGTTCCATAAGCATGAGCCCCCCTCACAAACACACAAACACACAGAGACTCAGTGATACGCGTGTGTGTCTGTGTATGTGTGTGTGTGTGTAAGTACCGTGCCAAATGGGCTGCCTGCATTTTGTGTTCGCCTTTTCGTTGGCATAAAATTTTGCAAATAATTAGAAAATTGTGGCAGTTTCTTCGCTCAAGTGCTAGAGACGTCCTCCTCAACAGATGTTGCAGCAGCAGCAGTAGCAGCAACTGCTTCTGCATCATTGTTGTTGCTGCTGCTGCTGCACAAATCTATGTCAGCTGCTGTGAGCGAGATGGCTCTGAGGAGCGAGTCAGCCATATAGACAGCAGCAGCCAGGCTGCCACATCAATTAGTGCCGCAGAAAGCCACACTGGGGAGAGCTCCCAGTGCCCGCTTCTGCCTCTCGGTCTGCGACTACCAAAATTTTCCATTGCCAACTCGTCCCAT